GTGGACAGTCACCAAGATGACCGGGTCGGAGGCAGCGGAGGAGGAAGCTCCGTCGTGGCCATCATGTCGAAGGACGGGGGACCTGAACTGGGAGTCAGGAAATGAAGGGCAGGCAGCGTCCTGGAGTTGCTCCATATCGGCGGCAAGGGTCGCCACCTGCGCCTGTAAGGGCGTGAGGGTCGCGAGTTGCGCCTGGATAGGCGCGAGGAGGGAGGTGAGGAGGGTGCGCAGGTCCCCCTGGGGCTGGTGGCCCTGGTCCGTCGGCATGGGTGTGGAGCCCTGTGCAGTGGTCGTCGTCGCGTCGGCGGCGTGTGACACACCGTCGGTCATGGGGAAGTGACAGACCGGACTGGAGGGGGCCAGGAGAGGTCCGCGTGAGCGGAGGGCGTAGGGGGAGGTCCGCGGTAGAAAATGGCGGACGACGCTAGCAAGGCTGGCGCGGGTGCCGTCAAAGGGGGAGGGGTGGTTCGGGTCCAAGGTGCCCGAATAGGGAGGGGGAAGTACGGGCGTTTGAAGAACCTTAAACCCTAGAAAACCCCTAGGAAAACCCTAACCGAAGTTTAAGTGGTTAGGGTAGGGTATCGGCGACCTAATCAAGAAAAAATAAAATAGCAAGCATAGGGGGGGGAAGGCGGGAGAAAAATAAATAAACAACGAGATTTCGAAAGAAAATATAAGTAAATAAGAAAATAAATAAATAATAAAAATAATAAGGGGAAGAAGTGAACAAAATGTGAAAAGAAAAAATAATATTTATTTTTTTGAAATTTTCGGCAGCATTTCCCTACTCGCCATGGGGTCAAGAATGTGCCAAGGGGAAAGGAGAGACTGAGATAAACACACTAGGTTTCAAACTGCCGCAAATAAAAATTTTAAAAAATAAATAAAGGAATAATAAATAAATAAATAAATAAATAAATAAATAAATAAGTAAGTAAATAAGTGGATGAGGAGGTGGAGAGAAATGGAGTATCTGATTTCAAAAGTTTTGGCAGCATTTCGTTATCCCCATGGGGTCGAAGTGTGCCGAAAAAAACTAAGTAAGGGAAAATCAGAAAATTTCGGCAGCACTTTGTTACCCCCACGGGGTCAAAACGTGTGCCGAAAGCAAGAAAACTAACACGTAATCAGATTTAGGGTTGCCGTAAAGAAAATCGAATTTTCAGAATAAATAAAAAAATAAATGAAATAAATCAGAAAATGAGAAAAGAAGGTGGGGGAGAAAATAATTCGATTTTTTGGAAAAAAGAGAAAAGATAAATCTAGAGAAAGATAGAAAGAAGAAAAAGAGAAAAAATTCGAAGTAGGGGGGAAGAGGAATGAGAAAGTGAAGGAGAAAAGAGAGAAATAGGTGGGGGAGAGAAAAAGATGGAAGTGGAAGGTGGGGGGATGATGTGGTGGTAGTTGGGGGAGAGGAGGGTTGGAGAAAGGTGGAGAGGGATCAAGAAGCAAGGACAAAAGAAGGAGGAAAGAAAAGAAAAAAAATAAAGAAAGGAGAGTAAAAGAATGGGTGGTGGGAGAAAGGTGGGGCGGGGAAGGTAAGAGGAGGAGAGAAAAGAGGCAGTAGAAGGTGGGGGAAAGAGAAGGGGTGAGTAAGAGGAGAGAGGAGAGGTAGGGAGAGTGGGTTAGTAGAGGGAGGGGAGAGAGAGAAGAGATACCTGGCCCTTGGTGTCTCCAAGGGCACAAGGTACACCAAGACCAGGAGGGTCTTGGCCTTCGCTGCAGCAGGCCAACTGGAGGAGAGATGGGGCTGAGATCTTGATCAACCTCTAGCAACAGTTCTGCAGATCTACAGATCTAGGGTCTGCTGGGTGAGCAGACCCTCACCACTGTCGAGCAGCCCCTGAAACAGGGGGTCTTCATGTCCACAGTAAGCTGCCACGTGGCATTACAGGTGGCCACGTGCACAGGCAGCAGCAGCCACCGGGGGGGGGGGGGTAAATAGCAGCCTCGCCGTTGCTGCCCTGCTGGCCGCTGCTCGCTGCCGGGGGGGGAGGGGTGTAAATAGCCAGCACGGCACCTCTTCAACACGAGTGTGCCGTGCTACAAGGCCATGGACACACTGTGGTGAGTGTGTTATGGCAATAGTATGCGCACGCGCAAGCCCAGCAGCTGCCTGGGTTCAAACCCCAGCAGCAGCAGCTGCATCCCGGATCTTGAAAATAGATAAATCCGGGGGCGGGGCGGGGCAGCGTGGGCACGTGGCGTGTGCGTGTGCGGCGGCCGGCCTTGGCACGCACGCGTCGTGATGCAGTCCTCTTTTTCGCCATGTGTCGACCTGCTGCTTCGCCCTTTTTTTTTTCCTCGTTTTTCCGAAAAAAAACAGCCGGAAAACAGCGAAAAATCCCGTTGTCGGGATTTGCTGTTTTCCCGTATGTGCGGTGTGGTGGATGGGAGCGGGGACCGTTCACGCTCCGATACCAATGTAGCGGACCCACCAGGTGTGGTGCTCCGTTAGGGATGATGATGGAGATGGAGGATGAGGGAGGAGCGAGACAGCACAGCGCAGCTCCCACGCAAGACTCCAGCGCACGTACTCCCAAAACTGTGCGAGTGTAGAATGATCTCGAAAACAGACAATGGCTGGGGTATACCCCAGCGGACTGACGGGACTGGACTGGACTGGCTGGTACCGACAGAGGTGCCGGCCTGGACTGGACTGCCCCGAATAAAACACAGGCCTATGAGAACAGGCCAAGGGGCTGGTCTCACAGGCCAACCAAAGGTCCGCTACATTATGACACCCGGCCTGACACCACCACCGTTGGCACTATTCATTGCTTTGTTACAATCCTGGTCATTCCCAAAAGGCAAATTCACAATGAATGACAATGCCACCCAATTGCGAAAGAAATGAAAGCACTTGCGAAGAGATAGAGACCAAAGAAGAGAGAAAGAAGAAGAAGAAGAAGAAGAAGAAGAAGAAGAAGATGTATGCCAACAAGACCAATGACAAATCCCCCTTCTCTCTCCACCTTCCTCCTCCTCCTTCACTTTGCCAATCTTATTCTTCTTCCAATAATAATAATAACAATGAGTGGATGAACCAGAATCAATATCCGAAGTTCCTTCTTACTGCTGACACAACAACAGGTCCACCATAGCTATGGCTTACCAGTTCTTCCTCCTCTCATATGCCTAGGCTATGGAGGACTACTAAGGGCTCTGCCCTCCTGTGCAAAGGACAATGCAAAGCAGCTATGTCGCTGCACTCCTGTCCAAAGGACAACACAAAGCAGCTATGCCGCTGCTCATTAAGTCGCCATGCCTGACTCTGCCTCAAGCTTCCTTGGTGTGGCACTACCCCAACTGGGGCCTTCCAGATGCAGCGCCCAACAAGGTGGTGAAGATGGTGTCCACCATAGCCAGGTAGGTACCTCGCCACTCTTCTCCTCCGCCCCTTCTTCCTCCTCCTCCCAGCAGCGCTCCCAAGACCAGTACTTGCCTCCAGCAGTATGTTGCCAATCTTTGCACACCGCAAATGAGGAGCTGCTTGCTCCTCCTGAAGATATAGCGGCCGGCTGGCCACTTGGGTGGTGACTTCCTAGACCGAGCGGCCTCCCAGCAACCGGTACCTCCTCCCTTTCGGAGGGAAACATCATTGTAGGCTCTGATATCGTTCGGACAGGCCCTAGACTCAGGCTACTTGGACTGGTTCTGGCCTACCTCTAACCTACCACTCCTGGGCCTCTAAAAATGCCAACTACTTGAGTGGTACCGGCCTACCCGCTGCTCTAAGTGTCGCGGGCCTACCCCCGCTACTTGAGTGTTTTCCATGCCGCAACCCTCAAAGTCACGACCACAGGTAAGTACCGGCCTTGCGGGGTCTTTCGACCAACAGGTACCCTTGCGGGTCACACACACACTCAGGCCGATAAGCACTCAGACAGGCACGCACACACACATACACACACAAACTTAGAAATCACAGCAGAATGCGGGAATCTCAGCAAGCCATTCATTTTAGTGGCAAATCCCAAAAATCAGCAATGTTCTCAGTCTGTGTTTTGGCGGGTCATTACAATACCACCCTCTCAAGAGCGAAGTCCTTTCCAGCGAGTAACTCATTAAGAGTCGACACAAAATGCATCGTAGGCGTAGATCAGAAAGAGAGTTTTAGTGTAACTGTGAGGAGTGAGTGTTGCGGAGATCTTAGCAGTCTGTCCATCGACGATATGTCGTTCATAAGCGTTAACAACACGGGGAGCATTCTTTAGCAGTTCTTTTTGGTAGATCCACTAGAACTTGTTCAACAGGTGATAAAGGAAGTGAACTTTGTACTGTTTGTTCCTCCCTCTTCCTTCATGGGAAACAATTCTGTCTATTTCGTGGCCACCGTTGATAGCACAAGGTATCATAGGATCTCGGAAGGGAAAAGTCAAGTCTCATCATTGATGTGTGAAAACGATTTGGACGCGTGAAAGACTGGATACACGCGTGGATGAGGAGGTACGTTAATTGCATACGAAGGACCAAAATCATCCCCTACCACCTTTAGAACTTGCCAAGGGCCATAATAGAGTGGAAGAAGCTTCTGTGATACGCCCTCTTCGTCAGAAAATTCAGACATTTTGACCCAGACATAACTTCCTACTTTGAAGTTCCCTTCTTTGCGCGACTTGTTAGCATGTTTGATCATGGCATGTTGACGCTTGTTCATTGTTGTGATAGCAACTTTGAGCAAACATGCATACTTGGCATTGTAGCCAGGCATGTCGGGCGCCTGTCCACGTGACCGATCAGGGAACAGATAGGAGAGAGGATTGAGCAGCTACCAACCGTATTGCAACTGATTCGGTGTTATGACAGTCGATGAGTGAATGGAGTTGTTGTACAACCCCTTCACTTTGTGTAACTCCTTGTCCCACATGTTGTAATCGGGAACAATTAACACACAAAGTAGTTGAATGACGGTCTGGTTGATTTCCTCGGCCAACCCATTGGCTTTCGGACGTCGACCAGAAGTCATGTTGAGTTTGATGTCATAAATTTGAGAGGTGAAATTCTTCCAATCTTTACTAATGAACCTGGTGTCCCGATCACTCACAATAGTTTTTAGGTGGCCATACTACAGAATGTACTGCTGATGGAATTCTTCGATCACAAGCTCAGTTGAGGCATGCGGAGGTAAAGGAATCAAATTCAGAAATTTGGAGAAATTATCCATGATGACCATGACTTGTGAATTCCCTCCCTCAGTCACCTTTCCCATATCTGTGAAATCGATGGAAACCGACTCACCGGGTCCATCAGGAATAGGGAGGGGTTTCAGCAGGTCATAAGGCTTATGCCTATGAACCTTGATTCTCTGATTGACTTGACATTCAACAATAAACTTCTTTGCAAATCCCTTCATTCCCGACCAATCAAACTGCTGCAAAAGACTTCCATAAGTCCCGAAGTGTCCACTCCGACCATGTGCCAAATCCAAGAAATGAGTCCGGAAAGGCGCATGGTTGGGTACACACAAACGATCAAACTTCCCATACCGTTGGAATACAAGACCCTCGCATTCATGAAAATCAGGTTGACTGCTAGGGTGAGCCTTGATCTGCTCAAGGATTGGACTAAGGTCCGGATTCTTGGCAGTGTGTTCGACCAGATCCTTCTTCAGTTTCCTTCGGGGGTCATATGAGCTCACAAGGCAAGTCGAAAACTCAGGATGACGTGACAAAGCATCAACAACACGATCATAACAACCTTTCGTGTGTTTCAGTTCAAAATTGTAAACATTAATGTCATGCAGCCAGCGGGCCAACATCGGAGAGAGATCAATTTGCGTTTTAATCCACTGCAATGTCTGATAATTTGAGTAAACCTTGAAGTGATGACCCAAGAGGTAGTGCTTCCAATGTGTGAGTGCCTCACGCAAGGCATAAAGCTCACGCATATATGTGGAGGTAGCTACCTTGTGGTCGGGCATGCGTTTGCTGTAATACTCGAGCGGACTCAGATCATCGCCATCATCTTGTTGCAGCACTGCAGCCAATCCTAAATTGGCTCGCGTCCGCAATGACCACAAACGTGAGGTTGGGATCCGCAATACGGAGCACAAAATAACTTACCAAAGCCTCTTTCAAGGCTTGAAACGCAGTCTCGCATTTCTCACACCACACATAAGTGACATTTTTGCTTGGTAGTCTTGAGGGTGGGTGAGCAATGACAAAAAAAATAGGACAAACTTCTAGTAGTACGAAGTCAAACCAAGAAAGGAACGCAGTTCGCATACGTTCACCGGTTGAGGCCACTTTCGTATGACCTCAACCTTGGTTGCCTCTGGCTCAAGGCCGTTTGTAGACAACTGGTGTCCGAGATAGATGACACTTTCCCTTCCAAACTCATATTTCTCTAAGTTGAGGTGCAATTGTGCCTCCTTCATGACCTGCAAGACTTCCTCAAGATGCTTGGCGTGCTCTTCCATGGACTTGCTAAAAATCGGGATGTCGTCAAGGTAAACAACAACAAACATGTTGAGCTGATGGCGGAGAAACTTGTCCATGAGGCACTGAAATGTGACTAGTGTATTCGTGAGACAGACGGGCATAACGATGAATTCGTACATCCCATCACGTGTTTGGAATGCAGTTTTGTGCTGGTCGTTCGGATCAGCTTCAATATGGTGGTAGCCAAACTTGAGGTGAATCTTGGAGAAGACCTTGCACCCACCTACAACATCTAGCAAATCATCTATGCGAGGCAAGGGACAAGCGTTTTTTCTGGTGATACGATTTAGGCTACGATAGTCGATACACACTCAAAGTTTGTCTCCTTCCTTTGGCACAAATAAGACAAGTGCACCAAACTCAGACTCAGTAAGGCTAATCCATCTACGGTCAATCATGTCGTCAATTTGTCTCCTCAACTCCTCCAACTGGCCTTGCCCCATACGGTAGATGCAACCTTTTGGAGGAACACTCCCTTCTATTATCTCGATCTTATGTTTGACCGAACGCTTGGGAACTCCACGAGGTTCGGCCATAACTTCCGGAAATCGATCCAATAGACGACGAATGTTTGTTGGGACTTCCGGCGGAGGATCATCCTTATTAGGAGAGAGAAAATCAGATTGAGAATTTACAACAATAACAACCAAATTCGAGGTAGTTGGATCAGAAGTAGACTTATTTCTTACAGTAGAAGTAGATGGAACAAAAGTAGATGTAGTAGAAGTATAATTATTTTCCGAGGTAGAAAATGCAGCAAAAGTAGAAGGCACATGGAGGGAATTTACAAGGGCTACATGCACATGCTCAGCTTCCTTACGCCTGCACACTGATTTGCAGAATTTGTTTGCACTCAAAAGAGTCACTGGGGACTCGCACCTCTCGTCCAACAGAACAATACGCTCGTTCCCCTTTGCATCACGCACCACAAACTGAGTATCCGGCCACGTGGTCCTTAGACAATGAGCCTTTAGCCTGCCCAAGCCAATAACCGCGTCGAAAGGACACTTGTCCAAGATATAGAAGTTCAGCTCATGTGTGATTGTGCGTTCTTTATCAAAGGTGACGCGCACACCTTTAACCGCACGTGTTGAAGTGACAACCTCTTGGTTGCCTACCTGGGTCTGTCTGACAAGGGTTCAACAATTCCACTTTCTTCACTCCCAGGCCCGCCTTACGAATCCCATTAGGAGAAAAGAAGTTGGTCGTTGAGCCATTATCAATCACACACGTATGTATCGACGGTTAATGAGCAACTTAAAGAAAATGAGCTCCACTCCTCCTTGAACACGGTGTTACTGCTTGAGCTGCGACCAATGTTTCAGGTGAGAATGAAAGTTTCCTTAGTCTCCTCCCAAGGCTCAATGTAAAGGACTTGAACTGCGACAAACTTGGTTTCAACATCGGTCCGGGCTTCAAGAGCAGACTGCTGATCAGATTCAGGCTCCTTGGAGGGGCCTGCAACTGACTGTTCAACTTCCCTTGTTGTAAAGAGTGCTAATAAATCTTCTATGCCCTTTGCCTATTTCCCTGCAAACATAACAATCCTACACAGCATGCCAAGGCTTTTGACAATGCAAGCACACATGCAATTTGAATCTTCTTTCCCATTCCTTTTGACTGATGCGGAGGGTTTCCCAAGGCTTGGTGGAAGCATGCTCTGGTTTCTCAGAAATCTTTGTGTTCTTAGGAAGGTGGGTTATGGTTCCCCTACCTGAACCACGGTTAGGCCCCTTGCTTGAAGCAGTCTTTTTAAAGGCATTACATTTTTCATCTTCATTGATGTCAGACTCAAGGGCTGATGTAGAACAACCCATATCGGAGTCCGACTCTGGATCATAATCTAGAGACAGATCATCAGCGTAGGACTGATCCTCAGCCTCCCGATGTTCATGCAGGGCAAGCTGGTTGCTGCTTCCGTACCGCTTGCGTCGCAAAGTTTTACCTGCAACTGGTGTCTTCGCACGCTTGGTGAGGTCCTTGGCTTCTAGGTTGACTAGATCCGTCAAGAGCTCATGCCAAGTCGAATGCTCCTTGAGTCCTAGCCGGGAGACATAATCTTCAGGGGCCACTCCCATCACTACATCCATACAAGACACATCAGTCAATCCTAGGTTTGGAGTAGTGAACAGTCCAGTCAAATGTTGTTCCAAAGCCTGCATGGAAGTCCTCCAATTTTGACCTTTGAGGGCCTCAAGCTTTAGCCTTGCCTTGAGCGCAGCGTGCTTATCTTGATAATGCACAATGAGGAGGTCCTCAAGAGTACGCACAGGAGTTACTTTCAACCACTCAGTCAGGTCAATTCTTTCATAACCTGCATTAATAGCTTGGAGTTCTATGAAACTTTGTACGGCGGGCTTAGTATTTGTGCCCATGATCATACTTCGATCTTCCTGCGGTTTTCGCAGTACCTCGAAGTATGAGCGCATGGAGCTGATCCAAGAGGTGATATCCCCCTTCCCGTCGTACTTGGACGGCAGCGTGGTCGCCCTCTTGTCCACTATGGGACCGCTGTATTGTACGCCAGTAAGAATTGCGGCGTTTTGGGCTGATATTCCTGCATTTGGGACTGGGACCAGCGCAGAACTGCCGGCGCTGCCACTTGAAGAGTTGGCACCGGTTCCTCCGCTCGTCACAGTTCCACTTGCTCTTTGCATGAGGACTGTGTTAGGGTGAGGGAGTGGGACTGCAGCAGGACGAGGATTAGGAGGACCGGAGGTAGTCAGTTGTGCCTGTTTGAGGCCGACGATCTCAGCCTGCAGCTCTGGGTTCCGCTGCTCTAGAGCTGTCACACGGGACTCAAGATCCTCCAAGGTCCGCGGTTGAACCAAGGCTGCTACGACAGCAACTAACTTCTCTTTGAACCGGGCATCACTAGACTCCGGAACCTCGAGGAGAGCCACTTGGGCAACAATACTTGTGGTTTTGGCTTTTGCTTTTGCTTCCCTCTCTCTCTGTATCGCATCCTCGTAAAGTTTTTGACAGAACGGATCCTCACTCTCGTCCGCTGCGTCCAACATGGCCTGCAATTGGGTAGATGAGATGTCTGTCATGTCGGAGCATGGGGTGTCAGTAGATCTCTCAAGAGGGGTCTGCTCTTTGCTCATGTTTGGACGAACGCTCCTCTGAACCCCTCCTCACACTCTCAAACAGAATACCTTTTCTCTCCCTTCACTCTCTTTCTGCTTCCTGCGCACGCGTCTCAATGCTAAACATAGATAGTTCAGATAAAAGAAAAAGAAATAAATCACAAAGAGCAGAAGGTAGAACTCCTAGCTGGAACGGCAATTCATTTGGACTTAGAGAATGACATTCACGCAGCAGAATAAAATAAATAAATAAAAACAAATGAAAGAGAGGACTGACTTAACGAACGGGGCCGATCAGACTAACTAGAGATCCCCTCTTGTCTAACCTGACAAGGAACATGTACCACGAATAAGTCAGTTCTGATGACCTGTCCAAACATGGACCGAAACACACAGCTGATTTCTGAGTTTTGCCCATAGACTGAATGCCTTGCTGAATTTCCCGCCTGCTACTAAGTCTGTGTGTGCACGCTTGCTGGACTGCATGTCTGTCTGAGTGATGGTTGGCTTGAGTG